GTAAGATACAGTCAAATCTCTATACATTAATGACTGTTTTTTCTTATTGTTTATCATCAAATCTATTATTATTATTATTAAATTTTACCTGTGCCTTTGATGTTTTAGAAACCATTGGCGGGACACTTTTTAAGCCTAATAGCTGGAAATGGGCAAGAGTATAGAGCAATCCAAGAACATGATGGCAAAGACCTTGTCCAGCAGCACAACTACACATATACTTGTTGATGCTAGCCTCAATAGAGGAGCTCTCGAACACAACAGACAACTTGTGAGGATCTTCGTTCTTTTTCATACTTCTGAAGCATTTAGCCCGAGCCACTACTCCTGAATCCTCTTCCTTGCAAAGTTTTACTGTTAAAAACCGAGAAAAAAAAAAGTTAAAACTCAAAACACTGAGCACAGAAACAAAATATTGGAAAGACAGTCAAACAAAGAAAGCTACCACGAGGTCAACGAGGCTCACCTTCAATATCGTGAATATATTCTTCGTGAAAGAATTTATATCCTCTTGTTACAGTGGCTTTGATCGGTAGGTTCTTCTCAGCAAAATCCTCAACAAAAGAGTTTGTAACTTTGGGTATCTTTGTTATATTTTTGTGCCAAAATTCGAGTTCAACGCTATCGCTACTAGTCGCCATTTTGTTTGTGAACTTACCACGCGTGGCCTCGACCTCATGTACAATATTCAATGACGTAATCCAAGATGGCGGGCCGTGACAAAGGCGAATGAATTTAACTGATGAACAAGTTGAAGCCTTGTCTTATAATGAAAGATGCTCTATGCTTAATCTTAATCCTGTTATCACTGCTAAGCATTTTCAGTACAAGGTTGAAACATTTTTCACAGAGGTTCTTCTCACCAGTGCAAACCCCATTGGTAAAATTGTTTATTATGCTCTTCGTATTGAGTTTCGAATGAGAGGCTCTCCTCACTTACATGCACTAATATGGACTTCAGACTGTCCAAAACTGACACATGAAAACAAACAAGATTACATAGAATTTATTGATAAGCATGTCCACGCATACATTCCAAATAGAGAAACCGACCCTCAATTACATGAATTGGTTGAAACATATCAAAACCACAACCACTCTAAAACATGTCGAAAATACAGGAATATTCCTTGCAGATTCAATTTTGGACAGTTTTTCACCAAGAGTACAATTGTAGCAGAAACCCTTTCTGATAATCTACCTGAAGATGTCAAAAGTAATGCTCTAACCAGACGAAAGGAAATTCTTAATTTAGTCAAAGAAAAAATAGATAATGTTCTAAACCCCAATAAACCAGATTATGATCCAAAATTAACTGAAACAGATATTTTTAGTTCTTTAGGTATTTCTGAGGAGCAGTATTACTGGGCATTGTCTATATCAGGCGATTCTTATTAGGATTTGCATCTGAAGCAGCCAATAGACAGCTGTTTTATTAATAACTACTTTGTTGCTGGTATTAAGGGCTTTCAAGCAAATGTTGACTTACAACCTGTTTTTAATCACTACAAGTGCGTAACATATGTCTGCTCATACTTCACAAAGGATGAAACTGAATGTTCACAAGCAATCATGACTGCAGCAAAAGAGGCCAAAACTGCTCATTTAAATGTTAAAGATGGCTTGAGAAAAATTGGTGCTGCTTTCCTCTCTTCTAGAGAAGTCAGTTCACAAGAATGTGTATACAGATGTATGCCAGAACTTTGGTTGAGAAAAATATTTCCCAAAACAGTTTTTATCAGTACTGATTTACCACAAAAAAGAGTACGCATCGCTAAGACCCAACAAGAACTTGATGCATTAGACGAAGACAGTACAGATATCTACAAGTCTAATATAATTGAGCGTTACATCATAAGACCAAAATCTGTTTCTACTGTTGATAACCTATGTTTAGCAGAATTTGCTTCACACTATTATAAATACTACAAAAAAGAATGTTCTGAGACAGCTGATGCCCAGCCAGATGTTCTCACGGACAATGTGCTTGAGTCTCAAAGTGAAACTTTAAATACTAATGCAGTCCTCCCAACACAAATTAGGTTGATGAATACCAATGAAGTCATGAAATGTAGGAAAACTAGGGCTGTTGTAAGATTTCATACACCAAATAAAATTAAAGAGCCTGAGAACTATTTCCATCACTTACTAATGCTCTATTTTCCATGGAGAGAGGAGAATAGTTTGCTTGGCAAAGAACAAACATATGCATCAAAATTCTATGAAACTGCAGTGCAAGCTGTTGTAGAATCCACTAGAGCAATATTTGAACCTAATGCCGATGCTGTCTCAGAAGCACTTGAATCACTGAAGAACAATCAGGGCAATATCATACGATCATATGATTCTATGAATGATCAAGAAAATGCAGATTTGCATCCAGAAGAATCATTCAATGAACAGCAGCCTTCACATCTTTCATCTGGAAATGAATCTGATCACCAAAGTACACTTCCCACAATAACAGTAAACAACCAACCAACAGATGTGTCTGATGACTTTTTGCGTCAGTCTGTAAGATCATTAAACAAAACACAACGTTATGCATATGACACAGTTCTGTCTTGGTGCAGAAGTAAAATTAAAAATATGAACAGTCTAAAGCCTGAAGAAGTTAAACCAATATATCTCTTTATAACTGGTGGTGCAGGTGCTGGAAAAAGTCACTTGATAAAAACAATATATCACACTGCAGCTAAAACTTTTCGACATGCTTGTAAGAACCCTGAACTACCAACAGTGCTTTTAATGGCTCCAACAGGAGTATCTGCTATTAATATCAATGGCACGACAATAAATACAGCTCTGGCAATTCCTCAGCAAACAAGTGACAATCTACCTGTAATGTCAGACCAAAAGAAGACTCAATTAAGACTGTCGTTTTCAGAACTAAAACTTATTATTATAGATGAAATTTCTATGGTTGGGAACATTACTTTGCTTCACATACATCAAAGACTACAACAAGTGTTTGGCACAGGTAACTTGCAATTGTTTGCTGGCATAAGTATCATTGCTGTAGGTGATCTGTATCAGCTGCCACCAATACGAAGGAAACTGGTTTTTCAAAACTACAAAAATGACACATAATCTGTATCACCCATGGCAAGTTTTCACAATGATAGAACTAACTGAAATTATGAGACAAAAAGATGATCAGCCATTTACTGAGCTATTAAACAGAATTAGGACTGGTACTCACACTGAAGAAGATGTCAAGTGCATTAATTCAAGATCAGTCAGTCCATCAGATGATAATTACCCTTCAGATGCACTTCACATTTGGGCTGAAAATAACCCTGTTTCTGAACACAACAACAAACAACTAGACCAAATTTCAAAACCTTTGTTTGTACTCACAGCTGTAGATCAGTATCCACCTAACGTCACAAAACAAGATATTGATAGGTTGTTATGTAGAGGGAGATCTGAAACAGGCGGACTTGATTTTGAAATCCACATTAAAGAAGGTGCAAGAGTAATGCTTACAACTAACATCGATATTGCAGATAGACTTATAAATGGTCAGATAGGAAGTGTTGCAAAAATTATTGTTAATCAAGATAATCAAAAACCAACAGTCATCTTTGTAAAATTTGATGACCATAATGCTGGGAATATTTCAATACAAAAATGTGGAAATCTGTTTGCTAGACAAAACAGAGCAGTACCCATTCAACCAGTTGTAACAAAAATCAAAGTCAGGCCAGGTAAACCATCCTCTCCAGAAATACAAAGGATACAGTTTCCTATCACACTGGCATGGGCATGCACTGTGCACAAAGTGCAAGGTTTGACACTTGATAAAGTTGTTATTAGTTTTAACTTGAATAGACAAAGAAGTTTTAACTATGGACAAGTTTATGTTGCATTAAGTCGTTCAACTTCCTTACAAGGACTTTACATTCTGGGGCAAATAGATAGTAAAATGTAAGAGCAGACTCTAGAGTCCATGATGAATATGAAAGATTGCGAAATAATTCATCAAAAAGTATGCAGCAAACAAATAAACCAATCCAAACTATTCAGGAAAATAGCTCAAATTTAACTTTATCCCTTCTAAATATACGATCTCTTAGAAAACACAGTACTGACATCAAGCTTGATACAAATATTTTCAGTAGTGATATTATAGCTCTGACAGAAACACAACTTCTTCCTCAAGACACAGACCACAATATTAGAAATGACACACTGTACAGGCAAGATCATATTTCTGACAAATACTCAAGTTTAGCACTCTGTACCAAAAATAACATTGAAATTACAGAACAAGAGTATTTCCCTTCAGTAAATGCACTAAAATTTGTTGCTACCAATACTTCTATCCAGCAACAGCTCTCCTTTCTTCTATTATATAGACAACACAGCTCTAATGTTTTACAATTTATAAACTCTATGGAATATCTACTTAGGAGTAATCCTATTGACCTCGTACTTGGAGACTTCAACATAAATTACTTCAATGAGAAAGAAAATAGGCCACTTGAATGCTTGATGCACTCTTTAAACTATGAACAAATTGTACAAACTCTCACATTTATTTCTGCAGGAACATTGTTAGACCATATTTACATGAAGCCAACAGCTTTTGATATAATCCACAATGATGTAATTAGTGTTTATTATTCAGACCATGATGCAGTTAAAGTATCATTGCAATTGTAACTTACAATAATTTATTATAATTAAAACCACGATATTGTTGTTTTACTTTAATTTTGTATTTAAGCTGATTTTCCAAATCACCAGATTACAATGATACACATCAACTGCGATGCCTAGATTGCCAATTATGGGGAAACTACTGAATTCAACTGATATTGTAACAAAGCTGTTCCAAACAAAAATACTATAAATCTCAAGAATGATATAAATATGTTGGGAATAGGCCATTATATTTTCCACCGGGGAGAGTTTAGGCAATAACCCCAAATCCCCCCCAAAAAAAAAAAAAAAACAAAAAAAAAAAAAAAAAAATAGTGTTCCCTTCAAATCTAAAATGTTATTGTTGAGCAATTTTTAAAGTTATTACTACTTAAAGTGGTTGTAACAAACACCCTGCTAAATATGATACAGCAGCAAAAACAAGCACCCTTCTCCAAATCAATATGGTCTATTCCTAATGGTGATTATATAACACTTCCATTTAATTGTGACATACTGTAGAAATATTTCATGTTAAATACAAAACATTGGGACCCTTAGCACCTTTGTGGTGCTGCTATCCTTCAAGTGCCAAAAAGGTGGGTTGTTGCTTTTACTGCATGGCTCTGCCCTACTGGTTAAATTAGCACATTGCACTTTGGATTAAGCAGTCCTGGTTAAATTAGCACATTGCACTTTGGATTAAGCAGTCCTGGTTCAAGTGCTACCCAGCTGTTAAGTTCTTGGGCAACTACACCTAACACTCATAGTGCCTTCCTTCACCCAGGAGTTAAAATGAATACTACTGGCAACATTATGTAGACTATATCATCTAACTTACCTGTGACAATGATCTTGTTTTCTTTCCTATTTTTCAGATGTCATTAAGCAAACCAGTCACTATCGCTGACATCAAGTCTTCACCTGTCCCTAACTCTCCTCAACGATGTGCAAAGAAGCTCACATGTGCTGTCCTCAACAAAAGCCCACTAAGACCAATCAAAAATGGTTCTATGTTCTCCTTGAATCTATGTGATAAAGACCCATCATCCACAATCAGAGCCGTCTGTTTCAACACAGACCTGTTCTCCAACTTTGAAACGGATGTAACATATGATCTTGAATCATTCAAGGTGAAGAAAGCATTTGGCAATTCGAGCTCCCTGGAACTACTACTTGACAACGACACCAAAGTTTCCACTGCAGCATCACAACTCAAGATCACAGACCATACTTTCAACATCTCCCAGATCCTTAGAGAGGAAACTGAGAATATCAGATTTATCAACCTGAAAGCAAAAGTAACAAGTATTGGGGATTCAATCTCGGTTGGCACATACCCCGACAACAAGTCAAAGAGAAGCATTTTCCTCGCAGACAATACTGAGCACATTGAACTTGTTTTGAGGAGAGAACGAGCAGAAACCATACAATTCAAAGAAGGCGATGTCCTCAGCCTGCAAAATGTGGTGTTGTCCACCTTCAATAACCAACTCAGTGTCACATCAACTTTTGAGACTGTCATTACAACACTAATGAAGAAATGACAGTAGCCTCAACACAGCATCCACTGCCGAAATCTAATGTCGTCTCTCTTCAGACCTTCATTGTTGCTATCAAAGAATTTATCTGCACATACACCTGCATTGACTGCAGGAAACAGATCGACCCAGGCGCATCCACAGAGAGTCCAACAATAACATGTCCAACATGTTCTACCATGTTCTTAAAGGAAAGTACACAGATAAGCAACCACTGCATGGTCCGCCTAAACAACAAGCAATAGTTTTCGGCACATACAGGAGTAAGTGTCTGTTTATTTATGTAAACGACAGTATTAGGTATCCCCCACTCATACACTTTATACCACTTGCAAAAATTTACATAATTTTCAAATTTCTAAAAACCCTGCACAAACACACTTTATAACACAACTAACACAGTTGACAGGGCTAATAATCATGAATCTATCTCCCCATATTAGGATTTTGTTCTTAATACTATAGTACACTATACTAGCAATGCACAGGGTTGGACATTAGCTAGCTCTCCCCCCTTGCCCAGACGAGTGTCAAAACATCTAAAGCAAATACAAATTTTAGATTTTTTATTGCATTACATATCATTAAAGACACTCGCCACTTGCTGTCAAAATTACATGTAAGTTTCCATCCCTAATGATGCATTCTAACCATAATAACATCTTTTAGTACCCTCCTTCCAATAAGCACCCCCATTATGGAAGTACTTCCCCTTGACTGTCATCTTGTTATTCCAATAACCAAAATGATTTACTACCATAAACAGACTGTCACTAGATTATGACATTTAATAACAACCATTCCTAAATCACAACATTTTATTTTATTTTCAGGTCATACAGCATCTCTTCAAATGGCAGGAGCCAAAACCCAAGCCAACAGAACAAGACATAGTAAATCTACTAAGCACTAAGTTCACACTGAGAGTGAATCTCGACCCAAAAATATTGGAACACCCTGCACCAGCAGACACCGACACTCACCCTGAGCCAGAAGAAGAAGAATCAAACTCCAAAAAAGTTAAAACAGCTTAAGTAACTTGATTTAGAACAG